TACCTTGAAAACACTTTACATGCATTTTTCATGATGAAAAAAGGCTCTGGACAGCATCATCGGGAACTAGAAGAGTTAAAAAAAATTTCAAACACAAACTCTAATAAACACGGTTTGCCGCGTTTAGCTGCATTTTAGCCGCATTTACAAGCATTTTTTGTTTGAAATGCTGATAAAATCGACTGCTGTACTCATGTTTTCTGCATTCAAAAAAAATGCTGTAAACTCAGATGCCTGTAAACGACTGTAAACGAAGATGTGTACATGGACACATAGGAAAACATTAGGGTGAGTTCAGGGGCTGCTGAAAAACATGCAGAACAGCTCTTAAAAGTCAGTTTATCAGCTGCAGTGTACATGAGCCCTTAAGAGTTCTTAAATTTAGTAAAGAAATTTAGTAAAGTCAAGTGTGAAGTGCCATTACTGACACTTGGAGCAACAATTGGATCTGGGCACTGTGCTTAACAAGGACCCTCAGGTTAGTTTGATTACAAAATGCATCACAATGGATGGATGTGAATCTGCTGTCTTGTTACTATATACCTTGCCTACTATATAATTTATATTTTTTATCTGTTTAATGGCTACCCTGCCTAGCCATCATTGATGATAATTACAGTTTCTCTGCATGCTTTATAGTTCAAAGCCCATGATGAATACGTATTCACAGTCAGAGGGGGCACAAAAATCTTCAACAAGTTAACAGCTTTTTAATTATTTGCTAATGACTTTACTTATGGTCCATATGTTTTCAAATGCTTCCTGGATCAGTTATCTTAAATAAAAAATAGTTTTTTTATTAGTAATTGTTAGCCCCTACCCTGAACACCTGATCCGTGATGTTGACCACTGCTCAATGTAGAGAGACTCCCAATCTCCAAGCAAAACTCCTCCTGTAGGTGCTAGCTCAGCTTGTGTGCTGCAAAGATGAGAACAAAGGACGTCCAATCGGCTGTACTCCATACAATCCACTTTATTGAACCAAGATAAAACCAATACAGACAGTGGCAGTACAGTCGGGGACTAGCAGGTAAACGTGGTTCACGCTAAAGACAGTGCTTATTCATTACTGCTTAAGGAATAAGCACTGTCTTTAGCGTGAAACACGTTTACCTGCCAGTCCCCCATTGTATTTCCACTGTCTGTATTGGTTTTATCTTGGTTCAATAAAGTGGATTGTTTGGAGTGCAGCTGATCGGGCTTCCTTTGTTCTCATGTGACCCGTGTTTGTTTTGCTGTGATTCTGCACATCCAAGACAATCTGTTTTTATAAAATAGATGAATGATCTCTTTTATTGTTGACTGGCCTATGCTTTCATGTTGTGCTACTGCACTCTAGAAAAAAAATTTACTTTTATGAAAGAAAAATTGATAAGCTATTCTATGGGGGTTTACCAAAACTGCAGTGTGCAAAATCTGATGCAACTCTGCATAGAAACCAATCAGCATTCAGGTTTTATTGTCAAAGCTAATTGAACAAGCTGAATTTAGCAGTTGATTGGTTACAATACTCAGCTGCACCATATTCTGAGTGCACCAGTTTCAGTAAATCTACCCTTATGTATTGTCAACTGCTCTATCTGAGCCACAGTTCAATGATCCATGATGATGTTTTACTGTGAAGCAACTGCAATGTCTTGAAAATCTCCTTTTCTTAGAAGCATGGCCTTTATTTCTTTCATTTTTGGCTGCTCTGCTTGGTCCTTGGGTCAAAAGTTTACACTTTGCAGAGATTTTACTGCACTCTGGAAAAAACAATCTCTCTTTAAAACTTTTGAAGTCATCTGCCAAAGTTTGCCTTGTTGCTTCCTAATTATTCAAACTTTGCTCAGTCTTCTTTTTTTTTCTTAATTTTTTTTCCCTTGGACAAATGGGAATCACTAAAATACAGATTTCACACCACAAACTGGGCAAATTAACCAATAGTATCTTGCTAAAATTTTCTTAGATCTATTCACTGCATTTTTATGCAATGGAAGAGATTTACTAAAACCAGAGCACTTAGAATCTGGTGTAGCTGTGTATGTTAGCCAATCAGCTTCTAACTTCAGCTTGTTCAGTTAACCTTTGACAATAAAACCTGGAAGCTGATTGGTTTCTATGCAGAGCTGCACTGGATTTTGCATGCTCCAGTTTTAGTATTTCCCCCCCATCCCCCCCCCCCCCCACCGTTGTGTTTGTTTTTTTTAGAATATATAAGCTGCAACTTTCTTTGAAAGCTAGTTTGAGGTTTTACTTGCATAGAGGCATGTAAATGCCTGGAACCCATGGCTGTAAAACGTGTGAGTGCATCATGTTTAAAGGGAATAAAAACATTTAATGATGATGTTTATGGCCCCTTACATAAACCTTCTTGTAAGTAATGTTTATTGGCCTTTCCTTTTATAAGTAAAGGATGCACAATTAAACAGACCTTCTACTTTTTGCTTGAAAACTAAATCAGAACAAATGGGCCTCCAGAAGATTGGCAGCATTGAAAAAGATATTATAGTTACGATTATCTTCTATAGAATTCAGTCTGTGCTGATATTCAGTAAAACAAATAAAGGATACCAAAAAAATCAAAACCTCTTGGACCTGTCTGAAAGGAAAAAATTGCTGTCCATCCTCATAATAGTTGATTCTGACTCATAATTATGATTCCGCCATATAATAATGATTCGGCCATGCTACAAAGGCTATCAATGATAATCATATAGCATTGCACTTTTTTTCCGTTCTCAGCCCTAGTGTAATGGCAGACTGAGGGAAAGGAATGGCCATAAAGAATAATGGCATCATTGCTGTCACATGCACTTAAGTAAGGATGGAGTCATCCACCAATCCTCCTACCAGTCCATCCCCCACAGTTATCACCTTTTGTACAACCAGCCCTTCCCTCTTAGATTGCACGCTCCGAGGAGCAGAGCCCCCCTAACCCCCTTGTATTGAACTGTCATGTCTTCCTTTATATTGTAAAGCGCTGAGCAAATTGTTGGCGCTATATACATTTTTGTATAATAATAATAATAATCCACCATCCTCTCTCCAAAGGGTCTTTTAGGATGAAAGGGTAGCTCAAGGGAATAAAAGCTGTACCATCCCCAGGCATGCCAGATAGTGAAAACTGACCTTTCCTTGATCTGAGGTTAGTCACACATGGGGATCTGGGAGGGGAATTCTGGTGTTGTTCATGTAATTCACAGTGCGTGCTAACAGCTTGTGACTAGTAAAGTAGCTGGAGAGTTGACACTTCTAGAGGTGCACTCAGGTAACACAGCATCCAGTAATGTGATGATGGTCCTGGCAATGCGGCAATGCAGATTTTGTTGTCCGGTTTTGTTGCTATTTGTATTTTTGTTGGAGAGGGGATGTTTTCTTTAGCCACATTGGGTCCCTACCACTTCCTGGCCTGGGGACACAGGTGAGTGGACATTCCTTCTGTCATGCCTGGGCCATACCGATGATTCCGGATTATCTCTGGATACATTTTAACCAAGTTTGCACTAAATGAATTACACCCCTTATGGAATTGATGTGGGGTTTATATCATTATTTAGCACTGTTTCAAGCCACGGTCACACCATCGCTGTTTTTTTTTCATTGAATTTTCTTCTTTGTTACCATGTTTACAATTCATGGCCACTTTCAATCAGGCCACAGTTGCAGCAACAGCATTACTAAAAGCTTATAACAATGTTCATGTTTTAAAGCCCAACTGCAGCCAAGTTAGAATGTCTGTCACTGAAATAATGGGTAATGTCCCATTAGTAAAACGTACATTCTCCCTATATTTTCCCATAAGCCCTTTATGGAGAAATATACAAGTCTAGGAAAAGGCTCTACGTGTAAGGTATTTGACAATGGTAAACCTCCCATGCTTCATTCTTTCATTTTAAAAAAATACCTTTAAAAAAAATGTTAGTTTAACCACTAATCCATAGTGCATTATTTTCCAGAAAATGGATCACAACTCTAATTTGTATGAATTTTTAGTAGCACAGATTTCAGAGCATTTGCTCTTCACTAGTATGTATTAAATGGTAAATGTAGATATAATTAAAAGAAAAGGTTAGTAAGACAAAATGAGGAAACAAATGACTTGCTCATTAGTGTTAAGAATCCGTAGGCCTACACATACATTCAAACATACATACACTAATATATGAATCTGTTTTACATAGTAATCTTACATGGGAACTGGATATTCCATAGCATATAGAGTACTTAAAAGTTGTTACTGTAATATGTTTTGGGAAATAATATATTAGCCACTTGCCTACCGCCCTATAGCAGATATACTGCTACAGGGCGGCTCTAAACCCACATGGAAGAAAAATATATTTGAAATATATTTAAAAAATATTCTTCCCAAATATATTGACATATATTTGAAATACTACAATGTTGGCCTTATTCAATATATATATATATATAAAAAAAAAAAAATATATATATATATATATATATATATATATATATATACTGCATGTTGAAATGCGTTTTTTATTTATTACAATAAAAAGAGTAATTTTAGCATATATTTTTACATATATTTGTAAATGAAATCCAAAAATGTAGATTAAATGTATTTTTAAAGACATACAGTATATTTGAAAATGTATTTTTTTAAATATTTTTCATATATTTTGTAATAAAAACGCATTTCAACAAACAGTATATATTTATATATATATATTATTTTTTTTTTTAAATAAGGTACATTGAATACGGCCAAAATTGCAGTATTTCAAATATATGTCTATATATTTGGGAAGAATATTTTAAAAATATATTTGAAATATATTTTTCTTCCATGTGGGTATATCCGTGATTTTGCAGTTATGGGTAGGTGGCTTGCGTGTGCAATGTGCAGCAGATGTTAATCACCAGGTTCCGGCCGGAGATTCTCGACCGGCACTCGGTGATCGCCGCTAAAGCTGAGAGGGGAGAGATCTGTGTGTAAACAACACAGATCTCTCTCCTGTCAGCATGGGCATGCTCAGCGGCGGACTGACAACTCATGGGGCCCCCGGGCAATAGGGGATCAAGGGGCCCCTGTGTTCTTGCCCAAACTCAAAAAAGCCTATGAAAAAGGTACCAGGGGCATCTCATGGTGCCCCCTACTGACCCCGGGCCCTCGGGCAGTGCCCAAGTTTCCAAACGGTCAGTCCACCCCTGGGCATGCTCCTTTCTCTCTCTCTATGCACAGCAGAGTGAGGGAAAGCAGCATGTCTCCCTGGTAAAACAGCACACAGTGGAAGCAGAACACAGCACACAGTTAACCCTTTGAGCGCCCCAGATGTTAACTCCTTCCTGCCCAGTGTCATTAGTACAGTGTTAGTGCTTTTTATTAGCACTGATCACTGTATTAGTGTCACTGGAGATGTCAATGGATGTTAGCCAGTTCCCACCCAGTGTCAGAAGGCCCACCGTAGTCCCGCTATAAGTTGGTGATCGCCGCCATTACTAATATGAAAAAAAAAAAAATTCCAATATATATACTGCCATTTGTCAATGCTATAACTTTCACGTAAACCAATTAATTTACACATAAGGGGATTTTTTTTTGCAAAGAAATGTAGCAGAATACATTTTTTAAGAAATTTGATTTTTAATTATTTTTTTTTTATTGGATGTGTTTTATAGCAAAGTCAAAAATATAGTTTTTTTTTCAAACATTGTTGGTCTTTTTTTGTTTATAACACAAAAAATAAAAAACACAGAGATGAACAAGTAATATTTAAAGAAAGCTCTATTTGTGAGGAAAAAAAGGACATCAATTTCCTTTATATACAGCATTGCATGACCACGCAATTCTCAGTTAAACTAACACAGCGCTGCAAAAAATGGCGTGGTCAGGAATGGGAGTAAATCCTCTGGAGGGCAAGCGGTCATCACACCAGGAAAAGCACCCTTGTAATTACACATATTAGTGATCATCCATAGTAATATATACTCTGTATATATATATATTTTTTTTTTTTGGGGGGAATTTTTTTTCCGTTTGTGTTTTGTGTTTTGTACTTACAGTATCAATAATATATCTCCTGAACACATCTTTAAGGAGACCGATTCAGAAAAACATTTGTTTCCCCTGGAGGGTTCCTGCATGTGGATAGGAGATTCCATGGATTTTTTAGGCTTCCTCATGAACTAAAATAGGGCACGACTTCTACCTTTAACCTTAAGTACTCTGTTAATCTTGTTATTTATCAAAGCTGGCCTACTTGACCCCTTAAGGATTTGATTCTGCACTGACTGACATGCTTTTTTCTGGAAAGTATTATGTAAGGAACAAAAATACTGTGTGTGTGTATACAGAAACAGACCCAGTGTTCTAGCCAAGTAAATTTACAGTAAATACACAAAATGGTTGATAAACACATTGTTGTAATGAACCTGCTCTTATATGCAAATCACCAGGTTGCTTGGGTTTCCTGTCTTACCAAAGGAAGATGCTGTGTTTCTTTAGATAACATTCCACTGGGAAAAAGTCAACAAACAAACAGGAAGGCTTTCTAATATAGCAATGGATAAATAGCTTTTAAGCCATCATCAGCTGAAGTGGATCCTTGCCTCTCCTTGGTACCATTTAAATGGTGTTTTTTTAGGTTACTTAAGTATATTTGTCTGGTTTAAGTCCCACACAAATGCAGCAAACATAAATACTATTTAGAGGCCACTTTACAGGCGTTAAAGTAGATCTCAACCTGAACAGAGTTGAAGATTGAGATTACATTAAAGAATATGTAAACACAACATTTCATACTGCTGACATGGGCCTGCTGTACCATGTACCTGTATGAAAAGTATTCCTTCCTTTGTGTAGAATTCCTGGTGTTTTTGCCAGTCCCTAGATGAGAGCACAGCGTAGTCAGTTCTCTAGCTTTGCTGGGGGCTCTGCTCTCCTCCAATGACCAAACTTCTGCTGACACCCCCCCCCACACACACACACAGCCATTCCCCGGGAAGATCAGTGTACTGTTGTTTCTCCACTCTCAACTCTCTATGCAGGTATTTATAATGTTTTTTTTATATCTATACACAAATGTAACTTTCACTTCTATTTCAAACTGTAAGGGTTATTTTACAAGGTGAGGGTTTACATATACTTTAACCTATTCCTGACCATGCTATAGCTGGAAGACGGCTACAGTATGGTCGGCTAGTTCTGGGAGGGCGTCCTGGGGTGCACACTGCGTGCGATCTGTGATCGCTGTGTCCTTCGGACACAGCTGACCACATGGTTACAACACGGGCCGATCACAGATGCTTTTACCATGTGACCAGCTGTGTCCGGGAATAGCTGATCACCGGGTAAATAGGAAATGCCGTTATCAGCAGTCCTCTCCTCAGGCTGACAGTGCATGAGGAGTGGAGAGCCGGTAAGCGGCATTTCACAGGGGGACATCTACACTAATCATCAGGGCACTGATCATCAGTGTCCTGGTGATCAGTGTAGCCCCATCAGTGCGTCCAATAGTGACTATCAGTGCCCATCTGTACTGGCCATCAGTGTTGGCAATCAGTGCCCATCAGTTAATCACTGCCACCTAACAGTGCCCATCAGTGCCGCCTATCAGTGCCCATCAGTGTTGCCTAACAGTGCCCATCAGTGCCACCTAACAGTGCTCATCAGTGACACCCAACAGTGCCCATCAGTGCTGCCCATCAGTGGTGCCTAAGAGTGCCCATCAGTGCCACCCATCAGTGCCGCCTAACAGTGCACATCATTGCTGCCCATTAGTGCCGCCTAACAGTGCCCATCAATGCCACCTATCATTGCAGCCTCATCAGTGCCCATCAGTGCAGCCTATCAGTACCCATCAGTGAAGTAGAAAATTACTTATTTACAAAACTTTATAACAGAAACTAAGAAAAATATTTCTTTTTCAACATTTTTGGTCTTTTTTAAAAACCCCAGTGGTGATCAAATACCACCAAAAGAAAGCTTTATTTGTCTCAAAAAAATGATAAAAATGTAGTTTGGATACAGTGTTACTTGACCACAATTCAGTAGTAACCGGCAAGTGTGTCCTATTACTGATAGGAGGCGCACATGTTGCAGGCCAGTCCAGAGACCATTAATCAAGATGGCAGACAACAGTGTTAGTGCATGCATGGTACAGAGCAGGGGCGGACTGACCATTTGGAAACTCCTGTACTGCCCGAGGGCCCGCGGTCAGTAGGGGACCCCATGAGATGCCCCTGGTACCTTTTTCTTAGGCTTTTTTGAGTTTGGGCAAGGACACAGGGGACCCATGATCCCCTATTGCCCAGGGGCCCCATGAGTTTTCAGTCCGCCCCTGGTACAGAGTGTGGTGGTGAAGTTTTTTGTGAACGAAGGCGTAAAACCTGCAGATATCTACAGAAGAATTCAAACACAGTACAGTGATGAGACGCTCAGCTGCAGTGACCCATTTGAATGGTGTAAACGTTTCAAAGATGGTCTACAGTACATCCATCAGTGATGATCCCAGCCATGGTGGTTCCCAGCCCACACTAGTCATTCCTGTGAACATTCAGCGCATGGAACTCCTGATCCTGGATAATCGAATGCATAACCTGTCGTGAGATTGCACAAGAGACCCATCTTTCTGTGGGAACAGTGAACACAATGATGACGAAGTGAAGCAGGCTGTCCTAGGATAGTTCAGGTGTACTGACAAATCTTTCTATGCTGTAGCTTTCCAGGCATTAGTTAATCACTGGAATAAGTGTATAAATGTAGCAGGGGAGTATGTAAAAAAATAAATGCTGTTTCAAGTCCTTGAAATTTGTTCTTTTATTATATAACCTCAAAAGTTCTGGTTTGACTTGAACGCTCCCTGATAGTATGCCCTATACTTCTGCATGGTTGTCACTCCACCTTGGCCCTTGCTGGCAATTTCCAGCTATCAGAATTATAGTTTGGAGCTGCCATGTAAATTCAGCTGTATAAGCTGCTGCTGTCAAAAAACAGACCATGTCACACAAGGTTTGATTTACTACAACTGAAGAATGCAAAATCTGGTGCAGCTTTGCATAGAAATCAATCAACTTCCAGGTTTTTTGTCAAAGTTTAACCCCTTGACGCCAACATCACACAAATATGCAGCCTCACAGAACTGGGCTTTTTCTGTGGGGCCGCATATTTGCATACCCGTCTTGCTGCTGTGGGAGCGCCGCACAGCGCGTTCCCAGCACAAAGACCGGGGGGGTGTCACTGAGAGCCCGGGTCCCGTTCTATTGTTTGGGACCCGGGACTCCCAAATCCGGGTCACATGATCTCTGTGATAGCCTCTGATTGGCTATCACAGTGATCAGTCACTGTATTGGCCGCCCCTCCTTTTTTTTTTGTCTCTATGAATGGAGGAGAGAGATACATTGTGTCTCTCTAATTCCTGGCATAGAGAAAAAAAAAAAATGTTTGTTAAAAAAAAAAAAGATAAACAAAGAAATATTACAAAAACATTTAAGAAAAAATACCTAGATCAAGGTTTGATCTAGTTCAGTGCCAGGGTAAGTGTTTGGGTCAAGGCCAGGGTCAAAGGTCAAGGTCAGTTAGTGTCAGTGTGTTTTAGGTAAAAGAAAACCCCAAAAAACAAAATGCGTACTATTGTTTCTGGGCTGTACTGTGGGTACAAACAACAAATAACATACACATATATGGTATCGCTGCGATCATCAAGAACTTGAAATTTATTTTGGGTTGTTCTTTGGTGGAAGATTATGGTAGTAACAAGAAACACACAGCCCAATCAAAATAATATATATTTTTTTTACTATTTTGGGCCAAAAAATCAGGAGATATCCATTGCCATTTACAACCAAATGAAAGCCCAATTTGTCCTGAAAAAAACGCGGTATAAATCACCTGGATGTACAAAGTAGTCTTGATGATATGTATGGTTTTACTAGCACATGTCAAAATTGTGCTTAGGCATTAACCGCATGCCGCCCAGCCACTGTACATATATGGCGGCAGGGCGGCACTCACAGGCAAAACCACGTTTTAAAACGTGCGTTTTGTAAACAAATAGGGGGCGCGAGCGGGCGCCGCCGCCGCCCTATTTGTCCCGCGGATCACCGCCGCAGATGTCAGTCGCCGGGTCACAGCCGCTCCTTAGCGGCTATGTCCCGGCGATCGGCGGCAAACAGTGACAGACAGCACAGCTGCAGTATCTGTGCTGTCTGTCACTTCCCTGTCAGCTCGAGGATGAGCTGATCGAGAAAGAACAGTTTCTCTTTCTCGATCAGCCTTGTTCCGTTCAGCACACACCCCCCGCCCCCTAGTAAAACACTCCCCTCACTCCTATAACCCTTCCCTGCAAAATAAAGTTAACCCCTTCCTCCCCATTGCCATTAGTACATTGTCAGTTTTTTTTTTTTTTGCACTG